GTCCATCTTATTGTGCGGGGCCAAAAACTGGACACAGTACTCGAGGTGTGGTCTCATCAGTGCCGAGTACAGGGGGATGATCACTTCTCGGGCCCTACTCGCCACACTGTTCTTGATACAGGCCAGGATGCTGTTGGCCTTCTTGGCCACCTGGGCACACTGCTGGCTCATGTTCAGCCGACAGTCGACCAACACCCCCAGGTCCTTTTCTGCCAGGCAGCTCTCCAGCCACTCTGCCCCCAGCCTGTAGCGCTGCCTGGGGTTGTTGTGACCAAAGTGCAAGACCCTGCACTTGGCCTTATTGAACCTCATCCCGTTGGTCTCAGCCCATCCATCCAGCCTGTCGAGATCCCTCTGCAGAGCCTCTCTACCCTCCAGCAGATCAACACTCCCACCCAATTTGGTGTCGTCTGCAAATTTGCTGAGGGTGCATAATAATGAGATCTCTCTATGAGTGAAAGAAGCACAGCTCCTTGCTTGAGCTCCAGGGGCAGTACTTGGAGCTGAGCCATGTCCAAATACCCCCACTTCACCTTGGTGCTCTGAAAAACTGAAACACTTACATATCGAACATGCCTGCACTAGTATCACACCTATAAAACTGCTTCCGAGACTGTTGCTGGCTCAGAAGCATAAATTTTTCTCCTAAAACCTGTTGATGTGGGTTTATATTTAGCTTTTTCATTACTCACCTGCTTTACGGGATTGTGTAAAACTACCTGGAAAAACAAGGAAATGTTTTATTTAAAAAAAAAAAAAATTAAACAAGGTATCTATCATTGCATTGAAGTATAATTTTAAGATTTCTTATTTTAAAATGGGAAATTTTTGACAAATCCAGTATTCTAAAAGCTAAAATCATATTCTGTGTCTGTAAATCTCTGGGACCATACAAAATGCCATCTCATAGGGGTGACATCCCTGTAAAAGATTCATACACCTGCAGCTCACAGCCATACTCTACTTTTAACTCTATGTGTGTTAATTTTTCCTTTCTTCCTCTCATTCCCTTATGTTTCTTTACAAATCTCATGTTAAAATGTTATTTAAGATTTCATTAACTGTTTTGCATTGTAGATAAAAACTTCCATATCTGCTGTTGTAGGTGGAAATACTTACTTTTTAGTTTATAAACTATAGCAGCAGAAACAGCGATAATAAGAAATAAAATTACAAGGAAGGCCGTCATCCAAGGTGAAGTGGAAGGAAAGAAGACATCTGTAAAACATAATATCGTTGCTTTCACTGAATGTTTGAGAAAGAGCTATGACAGGCTCCAGTGAACAAAGCGTACGTATCTAGTGCCTTTTTTTTTTGCTGTAATGTATTTTTTACAGTCTCCTCCCGCCACCCCTAAAGGCTGCAGGTCTCCCCTGAACCCCTGTACATCCTTGTGCTTCCAGCTGTTCCAGGGCATCAGGGATAGTATTAGATGCCTGTGTTCAGGCCCTCAAACTGTGCTCCTACACCCGTACTCATTCAGACTCAGACTGCCCCTTTATGAGGGAGATGTGCTGAGCAGCCCATCTCTGAGGCCAGTATTTGCACTGTTGAACCACAAAATGAAGTTTTCAGCAGAGCACAACAATCGTCAGTGGCATTTCAGCTGGAAAGAAAAGGTTTTCCCTAGTCCCCTTTTGAAATAAGATTGCCTGCTTTGCAGGCTAAGATTCCATCTAGAGGGAGGCACATGCTGAATCTGAGAGTAATCATGGTGGTGTTAGGGAGAGAAAAAGGGGTGGGAGCAGACATTCATCATCTCCTATTGGTGCACTCCAGCTGTCTCAGGTCATGGTGCTGGGTACCCTGGCAGCAGCGTATAGTACCTTTGTTCGCCCCATTGGCACCTCTCAATCTTTCCCTCTCCTAATTGGCACACTGCTATGAGGTGGCAGCTAACAAGAGCTCCCCATTAGTATTTATAGCTAAGATGCATCTTGAATGTGACAAGTACTGGTCTATGACATAAAGATGAACTTCTTATCATGTTTTCCATCTAAACACTAGTGCTTTGTGCTTGGGCTGGTTCCCAGAATCACTCCAGGGTCAATGGAGAGACAATGGACAGCAGCCTACCAATTGGTCCTGAGAGCAGTTGATCCTGGAGGCCACTCACCTGAAATCAGGACTCGAGATTCACACATATCATTGAGTAGGTTATTGACTACTCTGCAGGAGACTTCCTTGTCAGATCCTGGTTCGAGATTCATGGAACTTACAACATCAAAAACCCCTGAAGAAGTCTTTGTTCTTTGGGTGGTCACTTCCTCCTTCCGTGCCTGTCCTTTGCTGTTCAGCCAAACTACTTCTGGCTCTGGAAACCATCCTTGTGACTTGCAGGTGAGGCCAATGCCCTGGCCCACATGACCATCCAGGAAAACTGAAGACTCCTCACCTTTAGCTGTAGAACCACAAACAAACAAGCTCCAGCAAACAGGAGACAAGATGACCATGGTGGGAAGGTTCCCCAGATTTGTCAGTAATTCATCAGAATTGAAATTTTAGTTCTCATTAAATTGCTGGTAAATAGCTCTTCCTGTGTTACATTAGTGGAGGTGTTGCCTATGGTCCCTCTGTGTAAAACATGGTAAAATGGCATCTATGACTATTCCTAGTCTGCTGGCAATAGGGGTAGCCTAACCTACAGTAGAGGTTGGGCTTTCACATGGCTAAGAGCAGATGAGATGAATCCAACCCATTGGTACCCCATAGACCTTTCTGATGTTGTACAACTAGTTTGAGGGAGAAGTAGCAAATGCCTGGCATTCACTCACCTGCCACGTTCATGTCAACCACCACTTCATCGTACCAGTTCTCAAAAAAGACACTGCAGGTGTATTTCCCTTTGTCCAAGAGCGTAACGTTTTTCAGGTGAAGAGACAGGTTTCCCCTATGAAATTCAGACTGAAAAAGGTTTGTCCTGCCCCGGTACGTCTCATCCTCATGAACTGGATTGTATGTGTTTTTTCCATCGTAAGTAGTCACATCAATCCTTTTGGAGTTTCCAGTAAATATCCACTGAACCGAAAGTCTCTCAGGGATTATGTTAACTTTCAGTTGACAGGGAAGGATGACTCCTTTTCCAATGATGCCAGTGACAGGTTTGTCAGGAGGAATAATTTTATACGAGCCTGCAAGAAGATTTGTAAATCTTACCTGTCATAGAATCATAGAATCAATCATAGAATCATAGAATCATATAGTTTGAGTTGGAAGGAACCTTCAAAGGTCATCTAGGCCAACCTCCCTGCAATTACCAGGGACATCAACTAGATCAGGTTGCTCAGAGCCCTGTCCAGCCTGAATGTTTCAAAACCTTGAATGTTTCCAGGGATGGGACACGACCTCTCTGGGCAACCTGAGCCAGTGTCTCATCACCCTCAGTGTAAAATATTTCTTCCTTATATCTAAGTCTAAATCTACCCTCTTTTAGTTTAAAACCATTACCCCTTCACCTGTCACAACAGGCCCTGCTAAAAAGTTTGTCCCATCTTTCTTAAAAGTCCCTTTTAAGTATTGAAAGGCCACAATAAGGTGTCCCTGAAGCCTTCTCTTCTCCAGGCTGAACAACCCCAACTCCCTCAGCCTGACTTCATAGGAGAGGTGCTCCAGCCCTCTGATCATTTTTGTGGTTGTCCTTCCTCTGAACCCGCTCCAACAGGTCCATGTCTTTCCTGTAACTGAGCACTCCAGAGCTGGATGCAATACTGTCACAAATGTTATCATTAGTATTTCCTATAGGAAACTGGAATATGTACAGGCATGTTAACGCAAGAAAAAGGAGCTACTCTTCTCTAGTAAAAATCAAAAAACTGGAAAATGCTCTGCACCAGGATGTTCTTTCAAGAGCAAGTCCCACTATCTCCCACTTTAAAGGCTAGTTTACCAGACATAGGCTTCTGGGACAAGAGGATTGGAGTGCAAAACCTCCTGTGACAGTAATCAGATCACATCTCTGTAGGTCCATATGAGCACAGACAAGCACAATTTTGTAACTGAAAGCCCCTGCCATCCTTTGCCATCCTTCTCCACTACCACATCCTAAGAGTGTAGAGTAACTGCAAAGAGGTGTTACTGAAAATACTGAGCTCAGTCTGTAGACTGGTCCAGAGGTAGAAATGGAATGTTCATCATGCAGAAAAACTAGCTCATTTTGTAAAGCCAGAACTCACAAAGATAGGATTTTGCCTTCCTAATTTCAGCTGTCTATAGTCTTTTCACTAGGATGCCTGCATTTGGCGATGAAACACTCCAGAGTAAGTACATTTCATTTCAGACTCAGACTCCTTGTTGCAAAATGGCCTTTAGCAAAAAAGGACAAGCTTGGTTTTGCGGTTAAACAGCAAAAATACTAATGGCCCTTTACAGAGCTTGCTTCCCCATTCAATTACTACTCTAAAGTGGGAGATACAAAAAGGAGCCCAACCTTTCTCAGCGTGATAAAGAGACAGGGTCAGCAAAGCTGCAAATTTACTCCAAAACAGAGAAAGGAAGCTCCCCAAAAACCAGCTGGACGTGGAGGGGGCTGTGACTCTATTTATAATCCTATCTTGAAGGTTTAAGTGAGTCATTAGTATTGTCTAGTCCTTGTGCTACCTGCCTGATTGAAGTGTATTACGATTTCATATAATGTTACTGTTTGCTTCTGGCTTCAGAAAATGAGTGGAGGGAATGAGTGTCTGATACACACACACAAACACACACATATATAAAGGCATTTCTTCAGATATATTGCAAATATAATATGCGTTGCCAAAAAAAACCCCATGAATCAACCTTTCCTTTTTTGTTTCTTTATTTCTTTTAGTTCTAGGTCTATCCACTAACTCTGGAAATTAGATGTCTTTTTAAATAAAATTGTGATTGGAACAGAACCTGGATTTACCTGTGACCAAATGAATTATCTGCAGAAAAACAATGATGTGAAGAGTTGTCGCCGGCTGATAGCTGGAACCCATCGCCTTGAAGTTTTGTAAGACATCAATAAGCAAAACTTCCGTGGCAAACCTTACAAGACTCCTGTAATCTTTTCAAGCACAGAACAGAAAATGAGAAGAGTGAATCAAACTAGAGCCATACGTTTGTCTATACATTCCTGTATATGAAGTGACACAGGGAAATCATCTGAGCGATATTAGGAAAATGACAGAATAAGCTGTTTTTTAAAGGAAGTTGTGATTCTAAGACTTATGCTTGGCCATCAGAGAAAAGAGAGGTATTTTTGATAGACTTAGAAGGACACGGTATTGGATCTTAAGGGCACTTCACAGGCCTGGTCCCCAAGTGTCCATTACACACTCAGTGTTGAGGAAACTTCTACCCAGGACAGCAACATTTTTCTAGATGGCGCGAAGCTACACCTAAACCCAATAGGAGGTGTCTGACTTCAGGCAGGTGAGACCATAAGGCAGACAGAAATCTTTAAAAAGCTCATTAATTTCCAAGTCCTTCTGGAGAGCATCTACTGGCCGTGGAAAGGCCATATGTTCCTTCCCTTACTCATACTTGCTTGGTCAAAGCTTCTGTTGTTATTGTTATTTGAAGGAAGAAGCTAAAATTTCTAGAAGGAATATTCAAAAATGCTAGAAGGCAAAAAGAATGAATTTCGACATCATTGCAGTTTTGAATGAAATGCTTACATATTTCTAACATCAGCAGATACACGTGCCGTTTGAAGCCATAGGTACAACTTGGGAATTTCCTGACCCAAGTAACACACATTGGGTTTCAAATTATTATTCCAGGCTTTTACAGAAAGTAGAAGCAGCAACGGGTGGAATTCACCTGCTGTATATCAGTTAAGTGTATGTGGATCCTTGGAGAGGAATATGCAGGTGAAATGAAACAACCTATCCATTCCTGTAAAGAAAGTCAAAGGATACTCTGGCATACAGAGTTTAGGGGTCTAAATTTAGGAGCACAGGATCCCCTTCAATGATTTAGCAGTTTTTTTAGTATAAATTGTAGCTGCGTTCCTCCACCTAGAGCTTTTCCTGAGAAGTCTAAAAAAATGAGACCGACCCAGACTACTTGTATCACCAAAGACAACATGGGAAGGGACTGGTTTCCTTCGAGCCCAGGAGCATTTCTATTAATAGGCAAGCTCTGCAGAACACACTTGGAGTTCACTTCCTCGTGAAGGCTAAGCCACACTCATCTTTGCTCTCTTTGCTAACCCATGAGCACCTTTGCTTCCCTAACACAGGAGAAGCATGAAGCACTGAGGAATCCAAAAGGAAGCTGGGGATTGTGAGTGCAAAATGCCGACCCCCTTGTTGCAATCTGCACTCTTCCATTTCTATTCCTGTTGAATGATGATTCACCCGAATGCAAAGGGAGCTTTTCCGAGATTTAGACTGAATGAAGGAGAAACAAAAAGGATTAAATATCCCAGCAAAGCTACAGTTTTACAAATCTACAGTTTTACAAAGCTACAGCTTCTGTTTTACACTCTTCCATGTAAAGCTAAAGGATCTCGGACACAGGCCAAATATTTTTTACAAAGGAGACAAATTAGTGCCACAAATGCATCGAAGATTTATTGCTTGCACATATATGAATGCAAAAATCTTATTCCTTTCTATTGATTGTCTGCAGAATAAATTTATTCCTGAGTTATAATCCATTAATTAAGATTATCTCTGCCATGTGTGTATATAGATATATATATAATGTACTGGTATATACCTACTAGACAAACACATAACGTCCTTATTACTGGCATAAAAAGAACAAATAAATTTGCTTTTGTAAGTGGAAATATGTTTCAGAATCAGTACTTTGCAGTTTTCAAACAAAGCCCATGCATCACAACAGTTTCAGCAAACTACCTACTTTGAGCAACCTAGGAAAAAACGATTAGCATTTCAGCGACTAATCTCTTTAATAAAGGTTGGTAGCAGGCAGCATCTGATTCATAGATCAGATTTAAGCGTTATCCACTCTTAAGAAGTAGACTGCTTTATTCATTACATTAAGGTAGTAAATAAAAAGAAACTTAAATGATCTTTAACGAGTTCATTAAAATGGCACCCACAAAGGACTGTAATGTATTCCCACTGATCCAGGCAAGAAAGAAGCCTTTCTAATTCCATAGAGGAATTATTCCCTGGGGAACCCTTCAAAAACCTAATTATGCACAATTCTGTTTCAGCCAGACATTAATTTCTTACCTGAATAGCAAGATCCAAAGTATCCATTTTAAATTCAGCATGCCTTATGGAAGTGGGGAACCTTTGGCTTGTATCACCCGAACACACATACTTTCTTTTTTCTATATCTATAGAGGGGACAGAGTTCAACGATTTCCTCACTAAAGCTTGAAAGTATTAAAAGCTGAACTTTCACCATGAGCAACTTCTTGCCCTTGGGTGTAACATTCCAGCCAATACCTGCAGATAACAACAGCCTATCACAGGAGTTATCCAAAGGCTTGATTTGCCTACACACATAGATCCAAAGTACAGCAAGAGGGTTATGTTTCAAATGGTTTTGTATTTGTGCAGTGCAACTCATTTTCTAGTATGGCTTTCTGACAATGAAATAAAACTGAGAAAACGGCATGAATGGGAGGTAAATAATCCAAAATGGGGTGTTGCATGAGCCCATTACCCACTCGGGTGATGTGAATTTAGAAGTATTAATATACAAAACAGAGACCACTTAGGAAACCATAGATATTTAGAAACTGCACAATTTAGAACTTTTAAGTGCAAGACCTTATGATTCAATTACACCATCTTTTTTATGTACTAGAGAGAGAGGAAGTTAATATCTGTAGCAAGGGGGAAAATAATTTACAAGACTCAGGCCCTTCACGAAGAAAAAAGACTAATGAACATCTAAATGGGGCTCAATTCCCTTTCACTTAAAGGTGAGACAGATTCTGCATACAAAAGTGTTGGAGGTATGGGGCCACACCTAGGTTTGAAACTCTGGGGTTCTTTTATGGCCCTCAGCTAGGACCAGTCATGTTGCAGAGCTGCCTGCCCCTCCTTTGATTGTAGGGGGAGAATAATCATCCGGTTGGGACGAGAAACCTCACCTTCAAACAGCCAAGGTCACAGCAGCTTGTGATTTCTTTAGTCAAATATGGTGGATTATCATATCATGAGATGAGTCATAACTCAAACTCCACTCTCTTTCACAATCTCAGGAAAATAATTGCTTGTTTCACATGCAGGTTATGTCTGAAAATGCAGGCAATGTCTCTCCACAGAGATGACATTGAGTATGATCCTGATAAATTAATGGAAAGCTAAATATTGACACATGGAGGTGGGCTCCCATTACCAAAATTTTGACCAAAACCTGAAGTTTTCTGATTATTTGCATATGTTCCCCTCACACATGGCATCCTCAAAAAATATGACAAAAATGTTTCTAAAGTTTCATGTACACCACCTCTATGAAACAAAGAGATGGGAACTTGCAAAGAGGTACTGCTTTCACTGGATGCACTGTAAAAAAAAGCTGTAAAGTTTATTGTAGAACTGTAAAAGTTTATTGTTGTTTTTTTTTTTTTTTCCTAAAGAGTAACTCAACAGCTGTGGCAAAGAAAATGCTGTCTTACTGCCCTGACAACCAAAGGGATTGGTTATTTGCCAATTATGCCTCCAGTGTGCAGCTGCAATTCTCTTACAGAGAGGCTCATCGTTTCAGAGGCACTACTAGATTTGGCTCATGTTAGGTAATATCAAAATAGCAATCTACTATCTATGTCTGATAGCTTCTGATGAGTGACATCAAAATAAGCCTAATAAGCCTAAGGAGAGCCTTCAGCCTGCCATCTCACTTGAAGTGGGAAATGACAAGAGTATCAGAATGGTCTGTGGCAAGTGGCAGGATGACACATCAGGGTTGGTAGGACGTAATGATAGCAAGGGCCTCCAACCTGTTGCACTGACACATGCTGTGAACACTGTAACAAAGTCAAGGTCTTGCAGAGATAGACCAAGAGCCCCTGAGTCAATAGGAGACAGAAAGGTAGTTGGCACAAAGCATGTTGGGGGATCAGTGAGATGCCCCTCTAAGAAGGACACACAGCTGGAAGACCGGCTGAAGTGTCTCTACACCAATGCACACAGCATGGGCAACAAGCAGGAGGAACTGGAAGCTGTCCTGCTACAGGAGAGCTATGACATAGTAGCAATTACGGAAACTTGGTGGGACGACTCCTATGACTGGAGTGTGGCCATCGATGGCTACAAGCTGTTCAGAAGGGACAGGAGAGGAAGAAGGGGTGGAGGTGTTGCCCTCTATGTAAAGAAGTGGCTGGAGTGTGAAGAGTTGTTGCTAAAGAGTAGCCATGACCAGGTCGAAAGTTTATGGGTAGGAATTAGGGATTGGGACAACAAAGGGAGCCTTGTGGTAGGAATCTACTACAGGCCGCAAGACCAGGTGGAGCCTGTCGACGATGCCTTCTCACTCCAGCTTGAGGAGGCATCACGATCACAGGCTCTCATCCTGCTGGGGGATTTTAACCACCCCGACATCTGCTGGAAAAGCAACACGGCTGGCTGCAAGCACTCCATAAAGCTCCTAGAGTGCCTAGATGACAACTTCTTGAGACAAGAAATAACTAGCCCTACTCGAAGAGATGCATTGTTGGACCTGTTGGTCACAAATGCAAGTGAAGTCATCAGAAATGTCAAAGTTGAAGGCAGCCGGGGCTGCAGTGATCATGCCCTAGTGCAGAAGTTTGAAGCCCACGAGAAGCACAGTTAGGACTCTAAATTTTAAGAAAGCAAACTTCCAGCTTTTCAAGGAGTTGGTAAATAGGACCCCATGGGAAACGGCCCTCAGGGACAAGGGAGCAGAACAGAGCTGGCAGATCTTTAAGGATGCTCTCTATAGAGCACAAAAGATCTCAATCCCTACATGTAGGAAAATGGGCAAGGAGGGCAAGAGACCACCATGGTTGAGCCAAGACCTGCTGGTCAAACTAAGGGGCAAGATGGGGCTACACAGGAAATGGAAGAAGGGACAGGCATCCTGGGAAGAGTATAGGGACGCTGCCAAGATGTGTAGGGATGACGTCAGGAAGGCCAAGGCACAGCTAGAACTGAACTTGGCAAGGGATGGAAAGAAAAACAAGGCATCTACAGGTACATTAACCACAAAAGGAATGTTAAAGAAAACGTACCCCCCCCTTAATGAGCAGCAGTGGGGAACTTGTATCAACGGATGGGGAGAAGGTGGAAGTTCTCAATAACTTCTATGCCTCAGTCTTCACTGGCAACCCCTTTCCTCCTAGCTCTCATGTTGATGGCACACAAGTTGAGGACCCAGGTGACAAAGTCCATCCCACTGTAAGTCAAGACATGGTATGTGACCATCTAAGGAATTTGAAGATCTACAAGTCCATGAGACCTGATGAAATACATGCCAGAGTCCTGAAGGAACTGGCTGATGTAGTTGCCAAGCCACTTTCCATGATATTTGAAAAATCATGGTGATCAGGAGAAGTCCCTGCAGACTGGAAGAAAGGAAACATCACACCCATTTTTAAAAAGGGTAGAAAGGAGGACCCTGGGAACTACCGACCTGTCAACCTCGCCTCTGTACCTGGGAAGATCATGGAACAGATCCTCCTAGATGCCATGCTTGGGCACATGGAGGGCAGGGGGGTGATTCATAACAGCCAACATGGCTTTGCTAGGGGTAGGTCCTGCCTGACTAAACTAGTGGCCTTCTATGATAGAGTCCCTATGTCACCAGATAAGGGACGACCTATGGATGTGATCTATCTGGACTTCTGTAAGGCCTTTGACACAGTCCCCCATGACATCCTGCTCGCCAAATTGGAGGGGTACGGATTTGATGGGTGGACTGTTCAGTGGATAAGGAACTGGCTGGATGGTCACATCCAGAGGGTGGTACTCAATGGCTTGAAGTCCAGATGGAGAGCAGTGACAAGTGGTGTTCCTCAAGGGTCTGCGCTGGGACCGATACTGTTCAACATTTTTATCAACGATACAGACAGAGGGATGGAGTGCACCATCAGCAAGTTTGCAGATGACACCAAACTGTGTGGTGTTGTCGATACACCTGAGGGACGGGATGTCATCCAGAGGGACCTGGACAGGCTGGAGAGGTGGGCTCAAGTAAACCTCTTGAGGTCCAACAAGAGCAAGTGCAGGGTTATGTACCTGGGTCAGAATAATCCTCACCATCAGTACAGGCTGGAGGATGACGTATTAGAAAGCAGCCCTGAGGAAAGGGACTTGGGGGTGCTGATGGATGAGAACCTGGACATGAGCAGGCAGTGGGCAGCTGCAGCCCAGAAGGTCAATTGCATCCTGGGCTGCATCAAAAGATGCATTGCTAGCAGGTCCAGAGAGGTGATTCTGCCACTTTACTCTGCTCTGGTGAGACCTCACCTGGAGTATTGTGTGCAGGTCTGGAGCCCTCAATATAAGCAGGACATGGACCTGGTGGAGTGGGTCCAGGGGAGGGCCACTAAAATGATCAGGGGGTTGGAGCACCTCTGCTATGAAGACAGGCTGAGGGAGCTGGGATTGTTCAGCCTGGAGAAGAGGAGGCTCCAGGGAGACCTAATAGCAGCCTTCCAGTACCTGAAGGGGGCCTACAGAGTCTGTTTCCAAAGGCTGTCAATGACAGAACAAGGGGTAATGGCTTTAAACTGGAGAAAAGCAGGTTTAGATTAGACATTAGGAATAAGTTCTTTACTATGAAGGTGGTGGAACACTGGAACAGGTTGCATAGGGAGGTGGTTGAGGCCCCTTCTCTGGAGACATTCAAGGTGAGCTCAACCTTGGGGCGAGGTTGGGGTTGCCTCGAGGCCCTGGGCAACCTGGTCTAGTTGGGGGTGTCCCTGCTGGTTGGACTAGATGACCTTTGAAGGTCCCTTCTGGCCCAGATGGTTCTATGATTCTACGAAAATCTTCTCAGGAAGTTACATGCTAGTTCAGCAGAAAAGACCTGCTGTTGATATTTCTCCCTGCTGAGCCCAAGCATGGTGGCATCTTCTTTTGTTTGGGAATTTGGACTTGTTTTCTAAGAATTTCTAATGACAACAGGCAGTGCAGTAGAAGTAGTAGAGTTCAAAAGAAACCAGTTATTTTTCTCAAAAATCTGTAGTGGATTATTATATTAAGCATTTAGATTAGTGCAGTTTCAACAGATTCTCTGCTATTCAGCTAAAGGCAGCCCAGACATTGCTACCTCATGTCTTTATGAAACATATATATGTTTCTATGTGAAACATACAGATATTTTTTTTTCTGATCACCAAAACCTGTTTAACAGGTTTCCTCTCATACATCACATTTCTCATAATGCAAGTCATGTCTATCAGGAGAATTTGTCAGACCTAAAA